TGAGGGAAATAAAGAAAGAGTGCAGCATAATACTCGCCTCCGTGTTGTTAATAAAATCATGACTTTACGTCATGTAAATAGTAAAATCTGGTAATTTTTCTTCTACTGTTCCTCCACTTTTTCCCTCTATTGATCACTTCTTCTCATTTGATCTGTGGATCAAATGGCATAAAAATGTGCCCATCAATATACTGCAATACATAAAATAGTCGAAGGTATAGAATACAAATAAAAGTGTTAAGAATAGAGTTGAGAGAACCTGAACTGTAAAGTTCGGGTTCGTACTGAACATTACGATTTTTTGACCCCGAACATTTCAATAACAGTTCGGGTTTGAGTTCGGTGATTTAATGGCGCATTTTGAAAAGCTGCAGAAGCCATCACAGCCATGCCTACTAATGGCATGGTTGTGATTGGCCAGTGCAGCATGTGACCCAGCCTCTATATAAGCTGGAGTCACGTAGCGCCGCACGTCACATGAGCTCTTATTAGTATAGGGAGAGGATGCTGCAGCTGCGAGGGACAGATTAGGAAAGAATTCTGGTGTTGAATCTGCAAACTTTAGCGATTATTTTTGTGGGTGCTATACTACATTTTTGTACCCTGCCCTGAGCCCAGTGCCACAGAGAAATAAGCAATCAGTCTGTTTGTTAGGTGGGCACTTGCAACTGCATGTGTGCCAGGCACATTACTTTAATCCTGTTCTGGTAGCTCAGTGGGCAACATCTAGGTATTTTTAAATACTGCTGTGACATTGCAGTTTGACAACTCACATTAAGAAGTATTAAATAAATGGTAATACAAATAATAAAATAGAATAAAAGTAATTAGTAAATTGGATTGTCCAAGAAATGTCCATATGAAAGAATAATTAATGAAGAACCTCCCACACAGGGCCGGTGCCACCATTAGGTGAACTAGGCATTAGCCTAGGGGCTGGCTTGCTGGGGGTGCCCACCGGGATATTTCCTGGTGTGCTCCCCCTGTCTTGGGCTGCAGCGCTGGGCGAGTGGCTTTTCGAGCCGACCTCCTCTGAACACTGGCAGCGGGCAGGAGGAGTGAGAGACTGTCTCACACTGGACCCAGGGAGGTGAGTGTTTGAGTGTTTGACTGTCAGTGAGTGAGTATCTGTGAGTGTGTGTGTGTCTGTCTGTGAGTGCCTGCCTGTGTGTCTGTCAGTGAGTGTATGTATGTCAGTGAGTGAGTGTGTGTGTGTGTCTGTCTGTCTGTGTGTGCCTGTCTGTGTGTCTGTCAGTGAGTGTATGTATATCAGTGCGTGTCTGTGTGTGTGTCTGTCAGTGAGTGTATGTCTGTCTGTCAGTTAGTGTCTGTCTGTGTGTGTGTCTGTCAGTGAGAGTCTGTGTGTGTATGTCTGTCAGTGAGTGTGTGTGTATGTTTGCCAGTGAGTGTCTTTGTGAGTGTATGTGTGTGTGTGTCTGTCAGTGAGTGAGTGTATGTCTGTCAGTGAGTTTCTGTGTGTGTGTGTGTCAGTGAATGAGTGTATGTCTGTCAGTGAGAGCGTGTGTATGTTTGTCAGTGAGTGTCTGTGTGAGTGCATGTGTGTGTCTGTCAGTGAGTTTCTGTGTGTGTGTGTCACTGAGTGTATGTGTGTCTGTCAGTGAGTGAGTGACATGAGGGGGTAGCAAAATGGATTTTTGCCTAGGGCGGCAGAAATTCTTGCACTGGCCCTGGTCCCACAAATAAGATAAATCCAATAGGATAGAATCAGTGTACAGAATGTAGCATAAGGGAGAGCTCACTAAGTTGTGTATATGATAATACACAGCCGTGGAGCCCCTATGTCAGGATAATCTAATTTACTAGAAAACAGTAAAAAAGGGGGAAAAAAATCAAATACATAAAAATAAATAAATAGAGAAAAGTAAGAAAGCAACAACAAGTAAGAAAGAGGTCAACTGTGTGCTAAAAATGAGAGAATAAATAAGAAGAAAGGAGGAGTGCTTCTTAGAATAATTCAATCATCTTTAATGAATCAATAGTAAAATAAATCCTTAGACATATAGTAAAAATAAATCCTTTAAAAGATAATATAAAGGTACCAGCAGAAGCTCAGGATATGATGCACGTTGACCGCTATAATGGTTCTCCTGGTGGATGGGATAAGTGTGAGCTGCAGTCTTTGCTGTGTGTGGTCCGCCGGCGAGTTCGGCGTGCGTTCCACACAGCGTTCCAGTCAATGCCTTACTCTCGGGTCTGCTTCCACCAATGCTTCTGCTGGTACCTTTATTTTATCTTTTTAAGGATTTATTTTTACTGTCTAAGGATTTATTTTCTGATTGAATTTACTGTTGATTCATTAAAGATGATTGGATTATTCTAAGACGCACTCCTCCTTTCTTCTTATTTATTCTCTCATTTTTAGCACACGGTTGATCTAGTACTGTGTTGCTTTCTTACTTTTCTCTATATATTTATTTTTGTATGTATTTGATTTTTTTTTCCGTATATACTGTTTTCCAGTAAATTAGATTATCCTGACAAAGGGGCTCCACGGCTGTGTATTATCATATATACAACTTAGTGAGCTCTCCCTTATGCTACATTTTGTGGACTGATTCTATCCTATTTGTGGGACTGTCTTATCATTAATTATTATTTCATGTGGACATTTCTTGGATAATCTATTACTTTTATCCTATTTTATTATTTTTATTACCATTTTTTTGGGTACTTGTTAATTTGAGCTGGATTTCATTTATTATATATTGCATATTCTTTGTTACCACCCCTACTATTGTCTCATTATAGCTCCTGGAATCCCCTCATCTTATTTATATAAGTGTGATTTATATACTGCAATATACACTGCTCAAAAAAATAAAGGGAACACAAAAATAACAAATCCTAGATCTGAATGAATTAAATATTCTTCTGAAATACTTTGTTCTTTACATGTGCTGACAACAAAATCACACAAAAATTAAAAAAATGGAAATCAAATTTTTCAACCCATGGAGGTCTGGATTTGGAGTCACACTCAAAATTAAAGTGGAAAAACACACTACAGGCTGATCCAACTTTGATGTAATGTCCTCAAAACCAGTCAAAATGAGGCTCAGTAGTGTGTGTGGCCTCCACGTGCCTGTATGACCTCCCTTCAACGCCTGTGCATGCTCCTGATGAGGTGGCGGATGGTCTCCTGATGGATCTCCTCCCAGACCTGGACTAAAGCATCTGCCAACTCATGGACAGTCTGTGGTGCAACATGACATTGGTGGATGGAGCGAGACATGATGTCCCAGATGTGCTCAATTGGATTCAGGTCTGGGGAATGGGTGGGCCACTCCATAGCATCAATACCTTTGTCTTGCAGGAACTGCTGACACTCTCCAGCCACATGAGGTCTAACATTGTCTTGCATTAGGAGGAACTCAGGGCCAACCGCACCAGCATATGGTCTCACAAGGGGTCTGAGGATCTCATCTCAGTACCTAATGGCAGTCAGGCTACCTCTGGCTAGCACATGGAGGGCTGTGCGGCCCCCCAAAGAAATGCCACCCCACACCATTACTGACCCACTGCCAAACCGGTCATGCTGGAGGATGTTGCAGGCAGCAGAACATTCTCCACGGCGTCTCCAGACTCGGTCACGTCTGTCACATGTGCTCAGTGTGAACCTGCTTTCATCTGTGAAGAGCACAGGGCGCCAGTGGCGAATTTGCCAATCTTGGTGTTCTCTGGCAAATGCCAAACGTCCTGCACAGTGTTGGGCTGTAAGCACAACCCCCACCTGTGGATGTCGGGCCCTCATACCACCCTTATGGAGTCTGTTTCTGACCGTTCGAGCAGACACATGCACATTTGTGTCCTGCTGGAGGTAATTTTGCAGGGCTCTGGCAGTGCTCATCCTGTTCCTCCTTGCACAAAGGCGGAGGTAGCGGTCCTGCTGCTGGGTTGTTGCCCTGCTACGGCCTCCTCCACGTCTCCTGATGTACTAGCCTGTCTCCTGGTAGCACCTCTATGCTCTGGACACTACGCTGACAGACACAGCAAACCTTCTTGCCACAGCTCACATTGATGTGCCATCCTGGATGAGCTGCACTACCTGAGCCACTTGTGTGGGTTGTAGATTCCATCTCATGCTATCACTAGAGTGAAAGCACCGCCAGCATTCAAAAGTGACCAAAACATCAGCCAGGAAGCATAAGAACTGAGAAGTGGTCTGTGGTCACGACCTGCAGAACCACTCCTTTATTGGGAGTGTCTTGCTAATTGCCTATAATTTCCACCTGTTGTCTATCCCATTTCCACAACAGCATGTGAAATTGATTGTCACTCAATTGATTGTGTTGCTTCCTAAGTGGACAGTTTGATTTCACAGAAGTGTGATTGACTTGTGATTGAGTTACATTGTGTTGTTTAAGTGTTCCCTTTATTTTTTTGAGCAGTGTATATGCTTTTTATTGCCATCCTGATGAAAGCCCATGTATTGGGGCTGAAACATCAATGATTTTTTAATGATATGAATTAAAAGTTATATTTTATTATAACCTTCATTAAGTGTTCTGAGTGATATATATATAATGTTTAAATTATGTAATGTAGTAATGTATACATTTTGCAGTACAAACTGATTTGCCCATTTTCACTCCATTTCAGTTTGTCCAAATCATTTTTCCAGGAATGACATGGACAAATTTAGTCCACCTTAACAAAATTCTTTTTTGGACAAATTGATTTGGCTGAACGGAATTATTTCGCTGTGCGCAAGTCTGCTATGTTTCATAAGTGCACATCGTTTCTTGGCTCCAGAAAACAACATTTAAATAAGATTTATAATGTTCATCAAACCACTGATAATCTTGATGAAGCATATCTTTTTAGGCGTTATCCAATATTCCCTGAAGGCAAGTTAATTCAAAGTGTCATTTCATTGCCCAGTCACGCCTTGTGTTGTATAGCCTCAAGCAGTAGATTTATTGTGTAATGTAGGTCTATAAAATGAGGTTCTACTGAGGAGAGTTTCTTAATCAGTTAGGTACAGCCTGAGTTACCTTCTTTCAAGCAGTGAAGTCTTGCAGTAAAGTCTCGTGACCACGTAAGTAACCTACTCATCTCTCCAAATCTCTCTCTATTTCTGTTTAAGGTTATTCTATGTAATAATGTCAAGGACAAGTAACAGTTGGTACACAATCATTTTAGAAATCTGTAGAACAATGTTTCTCATTGGATTGAAATAAAACTTTGCATACTTTTCCTGTGTCCTACATGGGATTGTCCTCCATTAGAAGTAGATAAGGCAGATCATTATAAGGGGAAGAAAGTTGATATTTAATTGGACTCAAGTAGAGATGTGCAAAATGGTATTAATTATGTTGAATACATTTTAGTTTGTTATTTCTACTTCAATCTAATTTACTTTTCTCTCCTGTATTAATTTAACTTAATTATTAATACTTCCCACATATATCATTAATGGCATTAAAGATAGTGAGACATGCAGCAGTGATTATGACACCAGGATTTCCCTGGGGCTGTTCCACAATAAGGTGTCAAACCATTTTTGAATGGGTTTGCACTTCCCTGGATCCCCCAGCCCCCTCTGATCCAGATTCCCTTTCTATGGCAGAAGTTGCCCTTTTGCAATGGTAACAATAATTGGATGGGAGTGTTGGTTGACACTCTCAGCTATTAAAATCTATCTATATATGGGCAGAAAGTGATATATCTACTGCAATAGTAGGCATGTCTGCATTATCAATATATTACCTGTCCATCCATTTCCCTGGTCCACACTGCCTTCTTTGCAACTATTTCAATGTCAAACTATAATCAATGGGTAAATTGTTGGGTAGAAAATTAGATTAAATTAGCAAAATAGGCACCATAACAACGACAACATGATGCCAGGAGTCCTCTGGCAATGTCCCATGGTAAGTGGTTAAAGTGTTTTCAGAAGGTTTGACTTCAACCAGGGTCCCCCAGGTGGACCTAACCATACAATGTAAATATTGGCTTTTCTAAAAAAAAAAAAAAAAACTTTCATGTTATACATTGCCGGGTTAAAATGACTGTGCCATCACACCAAGACCACTTCATCGAGATGAAATGGGCCATGTGACTTTAACGGTCTGTTAATAAACTTGGGTAATTTTTAGTTTCTGTATCTGCCAACTTATTTAGAGGATCTAACCCCTCCCTTCCTTTAAAAAAAAAAAAAGTTATTCTCCCTACGCACCCTTACAGATTCTCTCTCGCCCTCATGATTGTAGAGTCTTTCCTTGCTATCCCTCCTCATATTTTCAATAGATTCCTTCTTTCAACTCTTCGTATCAGTGGTGTGGCTGAGCCTCTATTACACTGCTATGTACCAGTCACGCATTATTATGGCTGATCAGAGAATGGTGCTGAAGCAAAACTCTAGCCATTATTCATTGTCTGTGAGTGTCAGCTTATGGCTCTCAGATAAATTGTCATGAGATAGTCTGAACTTTCCCTTTAGCGTACCAGCTCAGACTGGAAACAGATAAGGTACTTAATGGAGACAGGTTTGTCTTCTGAGCATAGAGCTAATTTTTGACATAGTTTTGAGAGTATAGACTGAATGTTTATTATTTACAGCATTTATGGGACCTTTTAAAAAATAGAATCACATAGACCTGTAATTTGGAAGTAACGATTTGCCCCAAGTATAGCCAGAAGAACATTATGCTTGCACATTCAGAGAATAATCTCTCCCTTTGCCTGTATGTGTTATGTTTGATCTTACAAAATATTGCTTTGTTTTCTCAGATATTCCAACATGGTTCGTATTGTCCCTAAGAAAGATGCCCCAGGGGTGGATTTTTGTGGTGTTGACGATTATGTATACATTGTCCGATCTGACCTTGGCTGCTATTTGCGTTCAACAAGCTTCAACAAAGGTGAAGATATACATATCTACAGTCTCCATCCCTCCTGTAGAAATGGAGACCATTACCTGGCCCATGAAGATGACCTATTCTATATCATAAAGGGCACTAGTTATCGCCGTGTGACCAACATGAACACAGATGAAGATGCTGTAGTCTATACGATGCATCCCAAGTTTCAGGGTGGCGACCACTATCTGTCTGCCTTTGGTAACTTCTATGCAATCTACCAGAGCCGAGGGGTTTATTGTAAAACCAAAAACATGAATACATTTGAAGATGGCAATGAATATTCTCTGCATGCAAACTGCAAAAACGGGATTTATTATTTTGGTATAAAAAATTTCTACTACTTTGTAAAGCCCATTGATGAGTGGGGTATGCAGTACTTCAGATGCACCAACTTCAATACTAATGAGAATGCTGAAACATTTTCATTACATCCATCTATAGTTAACTTCATACCTGGAGGCTTAGCTATGACTCACGGTTCGTCATATGGTGTCTGGGAGTGCATCAAAACCATCAGTAATGACTCGCAGACACCAGTTACCTGGACAAAGAAGGTCAGCAAGAAGGTTGGATATGATTATGAGAAGATGTCCTCTGTGGAAACCAACTGGAATGTGTCTTCTACAGTTTCTGTTGAAACTTGTGGTCTATCAGCTCTGATTACAAAGAGTCAGGTGTCCTACACCGCTGAGTTTGGGGGATCCAATGTCAACACAGATCGAGAAAATTGGAGCAAGGCCACGGTAGTTGAGGAATCCATTACTACCACCCTGGATCCCGGGAAAAAGCTGTATATTTGGCAATACCAGTTAGGCATAGGTAAAGTACCTGTGCTGTTCTGCAAAGATATGAAGTTTGATGATGACCCAACGCCACCCACTGAAATCCCTCTTCCCCCAGCAAAATAAAAACACAAATTTCTTCAAAATAACAGATCATTAGCGATTTCGTTTTCCTCTGGAGCTTGAATTAAGTCACAATATACATATATTCTCATCAAGGTCATTTAAAAAAATATGCAGGTGCTTAGTGTAGGCCTTAAATTGTGCTGTGTTTAGGGAGTTAAAACTTATAGTCCTACAGAAGTTGTGTGTCCCAATGCAGTATCGGTAATATTATGTAATCTTCACATTTGATTGAGCAGAGGATGGTAGTAGAATAGAATGCATTAAATATGTAGGGTTTATAAAAGGTGTGGGGTTATCTCATGATCACAGTATATAGACTTGTTTGGATACAATTAAAAAGAGCATACAAAGATGTTAACATTCATTTGATTGTTGGCTTGTTCTTTTGTATATTCTACTATGGCTCTTGAGTGAATCTATCCTTTTATAAATAAATAAGCTTACACTCTTTCTATTTGTTGTCTCTAATTTATATTATATGCTACTTCAGTACAAAGCTTTTTGATACATTTAAGGCTTAGCCTGAATGCTTAAAGCAGCACTGTCACCCCTTGGCCTCCCCTCCACTCCCTCAAAAAATGGGCGGAGCTACTGCCGTCTAGAAGTGTCTACCTCCCAGCTGTCACCAGTGACAGCTGCAGAGATATTATTAGGTGTGTGTGTACAGTGGGGTACACACAACCCATGGGGCCCCGGTGCAAAAACTAATCCGTGGGCCTCCCGCACCCATGCTTACTCTGCGCGGGCAGGGGCCGCAACACATGGCGGCAGGCACCTGGTCGCAGGGGTCACAGGGCTGCGACCCCGGTATGTACGCCAGTGCATGCAGATACACATACACTTAAAAGAACCAATACAGACACCCAGATCACATGCCAGGTCCCTCTAGTTTTAACCCTGTAGCTCAAAACATGTTTCACTGAGTGTTAATCCAGCCTCTAGTGGCTGTCTCATTGACAGCCGCTAGAGGAGCTTCTGCGATTCTCACTGTGAAAATCACAGTGAGAAGACGCTGAACGTCCATAGGAAAGCATTGAGTAATGCTTTCCTATGGGCGGTTTGAATGCGCGTGCGGCTCTTGCCGCGCATGCGCATTCGGAGCTGAGAGGCGGATCGGGGCGGAGAGACACCCAGCGCCAAGGGAGTCCGGCACTGGAGAAAGGTAAGTGCTGAAGACACACACACACACTCTCACGAACAGAGACATACACACTAGCTAAGAGACACACACTCTCACGAACAGACGTATACACACTAGCTAACAGACACACACATTTACTGAAAGACACACACTCAGTGACAGACATACACACACTCACTGACAGACAGACACATACACACTCACTTACAAAACACACACTCACTAACAGACACCAAACAGACTCACTAACACACACACACTCTAATACTAACACACACACACACACACACTTTAACATACACTAACACACACACACACACACACTCTAATACTAACACACACACACACTCTAACACACACTAACACACTCACACACACTTTTTTTTTACAAATTTAATCCCCCCAGCCTCCCTACTTTTGGGAGTGCTGAGGCGATTCCCTGGGGTCTGGCGGGTGGGCTGGCTGGCTGGCGGGCGCGCGAGGGAGCACTCTCCCATAAGTGCTCCCTGTTCAGCTTCCGCGTGCGTCGCGTACTGATACCGGAGCCAGAAGATGACGTCATCTGCGGTGCGCGAGGGAGCTGAACAGGGAGCACTCATGGGAGAGTGCTCCCTCGCGCGCCCGCCAGCCAGCCCGACGGGTGACACCAGGGCCAGCCTCAGGGGGCCCTGAGGTGGCTGGCTCCTGTGCTCCCCAGGAGAAGAGGCTGGCCACACTGGATACATACCGGGTCGCAGGGTGGCCGGGCCCCATGGTGTGCCGGGCCCGGTCGCAGCCGCGACCCCTGCGATCCCGGTATGTACACCACTGTGTGTGTAGGATCTCGCAGTCCCGTTGCATACCTCATAGACCTTAGTGCTTTACTCTTGCACATGTGCAAGAGTACAGCAGTGAGTAAAGCAGGACCGTCTGGAAGAATGTGGTGGCATCCACAAGGCACAGGTTCAGGTATGTCATTCTCTCCTTTCCTTACCCTCCTGGCCCCCAGACCATCAAAGGCAATGTCACTATTGGGGGACTTTGCAAATTATGCAAAGTCTTCAGACGGTGACAGTGCTACTAACATTGCAACTTTTGGACTATACTTTGGGCCAAGACATGAACGACTAAAGTTACTTAAAACATCTCTTGAAAAATTAGGATAGTAGAGCAGCATGGGAAATGTAGAATCAAGATTAACATCACAAATAATATTTATTTTCATTTGATCTCCTGGCTTATCATTGCTCTTTGGGGGTGGCCATCTTTGGTCAGGAGGACCAGCTAACTAACTGTCAAAACAATGCACAATCTGCACAACACATGATACCTGCTCAAGAATGTGCACTCCTGCATGACATTAGGATTTAGGAATAAACACTAATTCTCATTTATCTTGTCTCTGGTTGGATAAGTGATGGTTCTCTGTATTTGACATGGCTGCCCCAAATGATTACCTAGGAGATGCACTGAAATATGCTATTTTCTAATGTGTATGCATTAAAAACAAATCCCTTGTAAGCTATAATACTTTTATCTGGATACAAAATGATTAATATATTTACCTGCTTAAGTCTTGTTTTAGAGTGCCCACTTCTCTAAAGCCCCACTGTGTAGTATCAGAGAGTTGCTTTGGTAACCCACGGCAACACTCTGACAGGAAGGGGCTTGCGGGAGGAGTACGTTCAGTCTGTACCTAGGGCAGGGGTCTACTGAATGTCTTCTAGACCCCCCAGCATCAGAAGAATCAAAAATGTGATTCACTTTGTCAAAAAAGTTTAAAATATTCTAAAATAGCAATAAACAGAAACCCTGCAATCTCCTGTTATAAAAGGTATATAGATAGCCCACCTATTTATTGTAACTAGCCTCTGTTTTATTCTACTACTCACTCTGTGGCTATTGTTGAGGGGCATTGAAGGGACTTTGTCAGCCCTCCCTTATTTTTAACTACTACCCACATCCTTTAAACCAGATCTTGGAGGAAAAGATATAACCGCAGTAATTTTCCACTCCATGGTTATAATTGTGTTTATCAAATAAATTACCTTTTTCCCAGCGTCGTTTAAATCTGAACAGTATAACTGAACCTTTGTAGTAGAAAATATATATATATATAAATAAATAAAAATATGTGCAATATTCCCATATAGAAAACTTTACATAGGTAGCATTAGTATAGGGCTATCTAGCTCTTTCTAAGGTAAATAATGACAATAGTACAAGATTAACTAGAAAGATGTTTATATGTAATGCTGCTATATCACATGTGGATACTTAGGACTAAAATTATGTCCAAACATACAGTGGGGGTGACCTGTTAGTATCCATACGGTATAAAGAGAAAAGTTGATACAGAAGGGAATTTATACAGAGTGAATCAGACAATTGTCCAATAATAATTTTAGGAAAGGGTTCAGCTCAGCTCGGTTTGACAGCAGAACTTAGATGGACATTAAGTTAAACGTACTCTTGACACATGCGCACATATTTGTGATGGAATCTATTCTTGACTTAATAAATAGGACACCTTATAGTTTAAGATAGAAATGTGTGTAAATTCTAGAAATGTGAGTGTAAATGCCCAACACGCAGAACTTAAGTAAAAATAAAGAAACCTTAAAGACATATTACCGTACCTTAGAATGGCCTGATTTAACATATAAAGGACAAGCCAAGGCCAGGAATACAGAGTGTACGTAAACGGTAGGCAACCCAAAGGTCAAGGGATATAGAAATCAGAATAGTCAAATAAACAAGCCAAAGTGAAAATACACAAGAAACAATACCATAAATGCGCTCTCGGATAATCACAATGGAAACCATGACAGGGCACTGAAAAATGTTCAAAAAGACTTAAATTGTCATTTCTAAGAGTCATGGGACTGAATGGTTAACTTGGAGCCTTAAATGGCTTTGACTTGCAGCGGCTGGCCGCTGTGTGAAGGGATGAAGGGAGGAGTACGAGGAGTGTCCGTCAAGACCAAGTGGACCAGCCCGCAGGAGTCAGGTAAGTATGGTCTGGAGGTGTTCCCATTTCCATTTGGGAACCCGCTACAACAAGGTATCCTAATCCGAGACCGCTCTCTGACAGAAGCGGGTCCGGCAGTTGCCTTGACAAAATTATGGACACAAAGTAAAATGTTTTGTTTCCTAGGCTCAGTAGACAATTATAATTAATGAATAAAATATTCTGAAGTTGACAAGAGAAAACAACAGAATGTTTGAGAGGGATTAAGAACAGTGAATCGGCAAGCCCTAAAACTGGAAAAATAGGACTTCACCCAATCCTATAAATATTAAAAGGAAATAAAAACAACCTAAAGTGCAGATATCCAGGAGCTAAACGATAATAAATAATTAAAATATCAGTATAGAGGAAATGGAATAGGAGTAGCCTTAAATGTACAGCCTTATGTTATACGACAAAGACACAATTATAAAACTAACTTGTTATAATATGGTTAAAAATCCGTGTATATCACAATAGTATCACACTATATTGATAATCAAGGATGATTCAGCATTGGAATAATAAAATGTCCTGATTGATAGTCCAAAATAATTGTAGAGTATGACTCGTCTAATATGTATCAAATCCTTTGTAACTATTTTGTTTCATAAGTAACTATAACCCAGCTTGTAGTTACAATGTAAACAAAGCACCTATGACTTCAATATACTTATAATAGAAAGATGTTGCAAAGTCCAGAACTAATACAAATGGCAATTCAGTATAAATAAACTGAATGCCTAAATACATGAATAAAGATGGTCACTAGAAAACCAAGTTGATTGATAAAATCTGGAATATTTTATTATGAAATAAAAAATATAAAAAACTTCAAATGGTAAAAATAACGGTGAAATACTGAGGTAGGTGAACGGTCTATTAAGTCTCAGACAACAAAAAGTAAAAAACCTGTGATCCAGACCCGGATGGATGTGGATTGAGATAAGAGTTCTTTCTCTTCTCCCTCCTCGTAGCCGGTGAGGACGGCGTGTGAGTCCCTGTATCCTCCACCTCCGAGCTCACATCGAGAGGTGGAGCTTGAACTCACGAGGGTGATGCAGATAAGGCTGGATACCGGGTCCGGAGTGCGGTGATCAACAGGGAAAATTGCAGAGACTTGACTCTCTCCTTCCAGATTCAACCGTAGATTGCCTTGCCTTACGCGTTTCATAGGCTAGCCCTACTTCATCAGAGGCTTGTGCTTCCCCTTATCGGCAGCAGTTTATATATCATGAATTAATTGCTGACAATCAACAGGTTTGGTCGCATGGAACAACGGCTCCGACAACTTTCTGCCATT